AAAAAAACTATGTATCTTGGTTTAGATGAGATTCTTTTAGTGCTTTTGGATATTTGGAAATTTAGGTTTTGGAGGAAATCTGGCCTTGCATTATGGAAGGTCAATTTCCCAAGATGATGGCATTCCAATGACATTGGTAAAAAAATTTTAATCTTGATTGAATAAACACAAGATTAAAATAATAATAATAATAATAATAAACTAAAAATATTTAAAATAATGAAAATTCCATCTACTTTTCCAAGTGGCCCCATCGTCTCCACAACTTGCCCAAGAATACAGAATCTTAAAAAGCCAAGCCATGAAAAGTTACAATGAAAAGTTTTCAATGGGACGAAAAAGGGAGGCAATAGACATATAAAATAAAAGGTTGTACTATGTGTACGATGCAAAAATGGAGATTCCAATAATCCGATGGGAATTTGAGTTGGTGTTTTGCAATTTGAGTGACCTTATCAAAAAACAAAATTACCCTTTTCTGATAATAAGGGGTCACCTGAGCCCGAATACCATAAAAAAAAAAATTTTATGATTATTTTTTTTACTGGAACCTGAACTTAATTTTGCATTCAATTTCATGTTACGATGCAATGCAATGTCATACCAAATTATTTAATTTTACAAAAGCAATTCAACCTTGCTTGAAATTAAAAGGTAGAATATTATATTATGACTTTATTTAAGATTGTTGTATGGTGCTGTCATTATAAATGCAATTCGCTTGACTTTCGTGAATACTATAATAGTCAACTATTAATGGAGGAATAGATGGATGAATTGAGCTTTATTTAATTGACGGAGGATGAATTTATTGTATTTGATTTAATTTTTAATAAAAAATAGATCATTTTTTTTATTAGGTACATAATAAAAAATATTTTTTTTTATTTTTTATTCAATTTATCTTCACTTATATATCATGTGATTTAAATTTAATATTTGTTTTTTTTTTTGAATAAGTTGTCAAAGAATGGGTTCGAAACCGCTCATAAAAGAGAGAAAATGCACTTCAAATTGACAAAATGTCAGTTAATCTGAAGGGTCAAGTGTAAATTTAATATTTTTTATTATAAAAAAAGAGAGGTTAGTATTGAATTAATTAAGTGATTGAGAAAAACAAACAGATTATATTTTACTATAAATAAAGAAAGTTGGCGAGCAGAATGTATTTTATTTAATTATTAATTAATTGAAGGGGTAAGCCCACACCCTTATCAAATGTTTTCGAGCTAAAAAATAGTATTTTGTTATAATAAGTAAACATTTTAAAATAAATTGATGCATTCAAAAAGTGCCATGTCCCAAACGAAAGCTCATTGCTACACACCATAACCTACCATAGCGTAGAATACAAGCAGGTATGTTGATAAAATTTTTAATCCACATTTTCATTTTCAAAAATAATCCAACCTTAAAAAGAAAAAAGAAAAAA